TGAGGGTTGTGATCCGTTGCCGGACACAGAAAAAGACAAAAGACAAAAAAAAAAAAAAAGATATACCATAATGTAAAAATTAAAAGGTTAAAATATATGAATGTCAATATATGAAAAGAACAGAGGTTACCTTGCATTTAAGAGAACCTTGGTATTTTGGTTTTTCGATTTTTGTTTTTGTTGATGAAAAACACAAAAATTCATCATTTATTCAACATTTGAGTGCCTATTACATATAGGGCATTATTCTAGGATACAGAGGTGAACAAAATAAACAAGGCCCATTTGACTTAAATTTTAGTGAAGGGATACAATCTACTTGTATTTTTTATTTTTATTATTTATTTATTTATTTATTTATTATGAATATTTATGAGATACAAAGCTTGATTGCTTGTATTTTATATCGATATAAATAGGTCTCTTATCAGTTTCACATGGTGAAAAATTATCTGGAGTAAACTGTGTCTTTAAGACTATAAAATTTGCCCAGTGGATTCTTGAATTTTTAGCAGTAATGATTCTGTAAAAATTAGTTTGTTTTTGTTTGTATAACCATATGTAGAAATCTACCTAGTTTGTCATTCAGCACCTATTCCTTTATTTCTAAATTGATCCGTGTTAATACGTAAACTTTTGCCCGTGTAGAAAATGTGGTGGACTACTTATCAGACACAGTAGGGTTCGCAAGGCCTGCATAGTCTTCAGATTGCATTATTATAGGTTTGTAATTTGGATCTCTTTAAAGTTAAAGGTAATTTGACATTTGCATTTCTCTTACATAGCGTTTTGTAAATTTGTCTGTTTTCCAGAAGTTATAAATAATTACTCAGTCTTGACCAGGACTTACTTTGCCATTCTTACTTTTTTTCCTCTGCTGCTGCTGCTCTATCTCAGGCTTTTATCACCCTGCTCCCCGCTGGATTACAGTAGACTTCATCAATTTTAAGTCCAGAAAGTTTGCAAATAGCATTTGTTCAGCTTGGTGGAGCATATGGCAGAGACAAAAGATTTCAATACATTGAGACAAAAGAGAGAATGCATCGGTAATATCTAATTTTCAAAGCCATATTGTTAGATCACATTTAAATAATTTTTTTATTTATAATAATTTTTGCTGACCTAGCAGTAAGAGTAAGCAGCAATTAGAAGAATAATCTTATATAGCGTGTTAAATTGTTTTTTGTTTTAAATTCTTGCATGAATTCCATTTGAGATTATTTAGAAAATATTATAGGAAAAAAAGACCTCGAGTATGAGAGCTAAGGTTTTAATTATTATGTGTTGAAATTTATTAATAAAAAAGTTAAAATACACAAGGGTACTTCAAAAAGTTCATGGAAAAATAGAATTGAAAGATAATATAAATCTTTCTCTGAACTTTTTGAAGTACCCTCATGTGTACCAAAGACTTTGAACTGAATTAATTTTTAGGGAGAAAATTCAGATTGAATTAGTATGTATAGCTAGCCTCTTACGAGCCACTGTAAGTTTTTGAGAGAATGTCTGCCCTCAGATAAAAATAATTACTTAAACATAATACTGAGCTTCAAACAGTAATTAAGCAAGCATTAAAAGATTTAATGATCACGAAAAACAGCCCTTCCAACAGCACTGACAGTTTCCTTTTTCCATCTATCTTTTGATGTTTTTGCAATGAGCGTGTGTTATGTAACTTTTAAGGTATTGTTTTAACTTTTAAAAAAAGTGTTTCCTGGTTGTGGATGCATGTAAAAAAAAAATTCGTGAATTTATTACAGGTGCACTGAAGATACGGTATCTGACCAAAGCCAAATATTATCTGATAGAAAGAACTTTTTTTAAATATAAAGAATACTTTAAAAAATATAGTTATTCTTTCAGTTCTTATACTATGTTTTAGATACTAAATTGATTCTGATTTTCAAATTAAGACAGTGAAAAAGCAAGATATTTAAATAACTAAAAATTAAATACAGTATAGTTTATTTTATTTCATGTTAGGGATTCTAGTTTACCAAATTATTCTAAAGAAGATTAGATTTATATTATTATCTCTTATGTTTAAACGTTTTTGAACACTGGTTGGCTCAAAAGTTATCTAGCTAATGTACTCTTAATTTATTAATCATTTATTTTAATCTAAATATTGGAAAGCATTTAATAACTATTTTATATATAAAATTAATATCTTTCACAAATTTTATAGCATTTTACTTTGTCAGTAAATGAATTATATTCATTTATGCTGTAACTAATAGAATTTCAGCATATAATTATGTAAGTAGATTTTTTTACTCCAAGCATCTAAAATGTGTTATTTGTATTTGAAAGCAAATATTCGCATGCTACCCATAAATTCCAATGGCATACTTTGTTCAAATTATTGACACAATTAACATCAGTTGGATATGAGAGTAACCTACACACTCATTACACACAAGTTCAGGATGCCAGAAATGAACACTGAGGTTAGCGCTTGGCTGTTTAGTCTTCCAAAAGCTCAGACTGTACCAAAGGAGCAGATCTAAATTTAAAATATATGTTTTCCTTATTGCTTGACATATTATATCATAAGTGATTTTCCACACATTAATCTCTCACCATTCCATTTAAACTGCTCTTGTCAAGTTAATTTTGTTAAGTCTAATTTATGATTTATGATTCTATTGATTATTCCTTTTTTTTTTTTTTTAAACCCATACTTCCTTTGAAACTGTACTACCTTGCCTTTTCTTCTATTCCCTGGCCTCTTACTCTCAGGCTCCTTTGTAGTTCACTTCTGTCTCTGCCTTAATTGTTGGTATTCCTATTCCTTCGGGTTATTATATATTGTGCCTATGTGAGTTCTCTTTAAATAATCTCATTCAACCCTATGACTTCAGTCCATATGCTCTTGCTCACGGGTTTTCTCCTACCCTCCAAGTGTTTGTTGGACATCATGACTTAGATATATCTCAAACTCA